CCCCTTCTAAGTGATCAAATTAGACTGCATTCTCAGCCCTGACCACGTAATAATCTACTGGTCTCTGGGATAGGGGGCTGTTTCCTTATCCGTATAGTTATTTCAAAAGACAACTAGAACATGAGAGAACTTTCTGGAGTGATGGAAATGTTCTATATCTTAACAGGAGTCAGGGTTATATGGGACTTTCCATCTGTCAAAATTTCCCAGTTAAGATTTGTGCATTTCAACCTATATAAATTTTACCTCAAAAAATTTTTTTTACTTTAAAAAAATCAAGTATGACAGGGAGTAGATGAAAGGATAGATGAAAAACAATGGCAGATGTTGGTATTTGTTGAAGCTGGGTGATGGGTATATGAGAGTTCAGCATCCTTTTCTGTTTACTTTGCTTGTACTTGAAATTTTCCATAATAAAAAGTTAAAATGAAGACTGACAGAACTAGAATAAGTCTTAAGCAAACTAGTCTAGAGCTTAACTTCTAGGGATATAAACAAAAACCTTCAAGGAGAGAGTAAGGCAGGATAAGGAACACGTGAGCCAGAGAGAACAGGCAGCATGCTCCCAGCAGGCCCTGACACTCAGATGATATAGGATGGCCTGTGATGCCCCAGTGGCCAAATTCACCATGCCTGCCCGCACAGGGCTAAGAAGCTGCCTGCACAGCCAAGGCACATACACATTCTGACACCACACTAATGTGTACTGATATAAAGAAACCTGTTTTATACTAGGAATTAAAACATACACTGCAAAGTTACTTTTTTTGGACAATTACTATTTTCTTAATAGTTATGATTCTCGGCATCTCAATCTTAGGGACTAGAAAGAAAAAGGAAAATTATATATTAAAAAAAATTCAATATGATATTTTGAAAGATGAACTACATCAAATCCCTGCTTGCTGAACCAGTTTATAAAGTTCCAATATTTGTACATCCATCCATCTCAATGTGTCTGCCTATTTCAGGATAAAGGAACTAGGATTTAGCTGCAGAAAGAGAATATTAGTGTCAACAGGTGGCAAAGAAAGGGACATTGCTCCTGGAGGCAAATAAATAAAATAAAACATCTTTCCTGCTTGATCATCCTCTTACCTCCGGCCCTGGTCCAATCGTCCATGAGGACCCCGAGCAGGAAATCTGTTCAGGTGGCTCAGATGAAGAGTGTGGGAAGTCTGGAAGAGACTCAGAGCTGCAGAGAGGAGACGGCTGGTGACTCACAAACCCTAAATATCTGTCCAACTTCCCTGTCCATTTCTTCCAGTGCACAGAAGTACCCACTTCTGTTCTGAGAGCAGCAACCTGATGGTTGCAAATCTGTTCATCCAGAGTACCCCATAAAGCCACACCCCAACATCCATGCCACTGGTACTCACGCTTCTGAGGAAAGAGCGGGGGAATCCGGTGAGGCTGGAAGATCAACTGGGGCTGAGCCCCCAGAATCCCTTGCTTCTGGCCCAGGGCTGCCACATGTAGAAGGGGAGGTGCTGGGGACTTCAGTAGGGGCTGCAGGACAGTAACCAGGAAATTTAGGGCATCCCACGGTTGACATGCTCACTACCTTGGAAAGATGCTGCCCCACCCTCTCGGCGAAAGTACAGTTCTTGCACAGCTTTCAGGGCACAGGGGCTTCCCTCCCTCCCCTTTCCAATGCACGTGCTAAGAAGAGATGAATACCTGGTTGGAGAGCGTTTGCACCTTCACGGCATTCCAGGGCACTGCCTGGCCTGGGTTGTATGCAGCCTTCACCAGCACCTTCTCACCCAGCTGGGGCAGCCGGCCCTTCACCACACTGCCAGCACACAAGCCAGGAGGCCCAGTCAGGAGACAGACCCTGGCCAAGCCACCCTGACTGCCCCTGTGAGATCCTTCCCATTAAGATTTCTCATACCTTGCATAGAAACAGCAAAGCAATGGCTTCAGAGGGGCCCCACCAGCATGGTGACAGAACTGAATCCAACAAGCATTTATTTCCCGAAGGAGACCAGCTCAAGCCTACCTTAGCTGAAAAAAGACCTCTTCATCCACCACCCCAAAGTAATCGTGTAAGCTGGTAACAATGCCAGTGAAGACCCGCTGCTTCTCCCCACCCTATAAGAGAAGAGCCCAGCTTAGAAGTAATAGAGAGCATTTGTCCACACCCTGCCATTAGCTTCTCATCTTTCTGCACCCCACCCCCCAGCTCAATCAGAGTATTGCATAGAGATTCACGTGGAAGGAAGCATATGCGTATAGTGGACACAATCAATCTTTGGGGAGAGGGGAACTGTGCTGATTCTTGGGTCACAAGCTTCTCCTAGGGTTTCCAGTTCTTCTTTAATTCCAAGAAATACCCTAAAGATTTCCCTAGAGCCAGAACTTAGGACTCCCCAGGCAGAGGTGTCTAGTCAGCTCCGTACTGGCCCAGGACAGGAGTGTCAGGAATGATGAACACTGTGATGTAAGAACAAAAGCACCCATGCATGCTGGGGTAGTCGCAAGTGCTGAAACTCACTAGAAAGAATGTCCAACCTACCTGAAGGTGCCTGGCATTTTGGGACAGGTCTGTGGCCACAGGAGGAGTGAGCAAACCAGGAGGAGGACCCAGAAGAGATGTTGAAGCTGTGCCTATGGGGACAGAGAAGCAATCTCCAGGAACTGCACCTACTATCTTAAGCACTAGAGTCAGCTAGAGGATATGGTAAACCCAAAGGGCAAAGTGGCTCCAAGCAACTCCTGCACAGGGTTTCACTGGCAACCACTGTGGTCATCTCCCAGGTTCCTAAGAAACACCAGCAGCAAATTGCACTCCACCAGGGAAACCCCAAAAGACACATTTTTAAAGACTAACTCCAAAGCACACACTTCCCAGTATGAGGCCAGGTGGGGATATGCTCACCTGAGAAGTTGCGTCCCCCCGGAAGCGGGTTGATCCGCTGGCGCTTAAACTGGGACATTGGGAATGCTGTCCTCTTTCAGAGTCTTGGAAAAAACCTTTAATCAGAAAAGAAATAAGTTAACAAGCTCACAGGTAAAATTTCCATCTACCCCCAAAAAAGGAACCAAGAATCTTAAGGAAAGTGGGGAGGTGGGTACCGAGAATGAATGGAGGAGACGGACGAAGTAGGAAACGAGGAAATTACATTGTTCCACTTTGCCTTCACAAGAACCCAGCGGTGGGCGACACCGTCATGCCATTTTAAAGAAAAGGAAACTGAAGCTCGGAGAGATCCCGAGACTTGCCCGAGGCCACACAAGCAGTTAGGCACAAAACTGGGACTCACACCCAGGTCTCCCGACAACTGAGCGCTCCTCTCACCACGCCACGCCACCCCCGGGTGGCGGGGGAGAGCCCCGGTGACATTCATTCATTCAAAGACATCCGCCAAACGCTCCACGCCAGGCCGGAAAAATGGAGGAGGCTGGCGCCGGAGAAGCGACGGTGTGTGCCCTCTCCGCGGAGGCCCGGCCGCCCTGCCCAGACGGGCGGCGGGCAGGCAGCCGGCAGCCCGGCCGAACGCGAGCCCGCTGCGCACCCCCGCC